TGCATAGTCACAACATATAGTTTATGGTCTTTTTACTTCATCGAAGTAATATAGGAAAGAGTGGGATAAACTGTGCCACTTTACTTACATTTCCCTCTAGGCACGAAGAAATCATATAAGTTAAACCTCACACGTCTAAATATATTTAGGGTGTCTGCTAACTGAAATGAATCACATTCCATAATGCTGTCTTATTTTACTGCACAAATTCATAAATAAGCCAGGAAATGGTTTAATAATCAAAATATCTAAAACATTAACTGTACTTGTAACATTAAAAGAATTTCCTGCAACCATATTAGTTATTTTATTTTATTATTTTTTACACTGATAATTCAACAATATAAAAAAAATTGTAAGACAGGAATACTTTTTGAGATGATAATTAATTTTACCAGCCATGTAGAAGTATTAATTTGACGTAAAAAAAATGCTTTTTAACATAAAAATGTTTTTCACTTTCCTAATGTGCATGTTTCAACTCACATGCAGCTATTTATGATGGTCACTTTGTAAATGACGAAAAATATACAAATATTAGTTGGCCGGGCTGAACAGACATAACGCTTTAACTATTTTAATTATATATGTTATGTTATATTTTATTTCCATGGATAATACTTCCAGAAATCTGTCAGAATACTACCACAAATCTCTCCAGTCTAAAATGGGAAGGGATTTCAGCACTGGACAGCGACAAAGATCCACAATCTACACCAAACCAAGATACATTTACCAAGACAACAATTATATCCATCCACAAATCACATGATTTTCTTCCTCAGGCTTTTACATGAAAGCATTTAACAGATGTTTGAAAAATCTAGAGTATCTGGTCTTCATTAAAATCTACTATGGCATCGTAAGAGACTAACATGATTCACTAAAAGCTCTTGCTGGAAAACACGATAGCATTATTGAAGTGCAGCAGCCATAACCATGGAAGCACAATGAGCATCTTTATGTAACGAGGCTAATTTACAGCAAAACATGCACCCAGCACTCATCAATAGATTGACATTACAGTGCCACTTCAGTTTGTGAGTGCATAGCCATTGCTCTGTGCAGACTGCTCTTCAGTCATTTCAATGGCTGGATCTTTAAAGCATGTGTGTGTGATCCAGGCAAACAGGCCGTCAACTCTTTGGTAATTTATAGACGGCAGCTATGAGTAGACATTATAATTCACTGGGTTTTTCAATGGCAGTCTTCCATGAGTGTCCGCCTGGATGTAAAAGCCCTGCTGCTCGGAGATCGATCAATGAGGACATACCAACAGTGATACAGCATCTATGAGTTTCAATTACACGGAGTTTGCATCAAAACTGCTGCTTAATGAAATAATATAATTCTGAGCCACTTTAACTCAAACAGCATTTTGATTGTATCAGATAGTAATACCATTATACTGAATGATTACCATATTCATGCAACATCATATTTACACACAGGTACTTGAAGGAATACCATGGTACAACCAGGGCAGAATGGCTTTATTCATACCATGCAAGATTGAAGGTCATATTATTTTTAAAACTACATGATAAAGTTATGATACAGAAGGGGAAAAAAGCTTGCATATCCAGATGCAAACATGTGTTCTTCTTATAAAGAAGTGACTTTTTTTTCCATCAACAGTGATCTCTAACTGGAAACTTAATACTGAATCAGTGCAGATATCACATCCAGTCTTCCACAAAGACAGTCTTCAATTAAATTATACACAAACAAACAATAAATAAATAAAGGATGAGAATTTCCTCTCTGGGTTTCTTAAATTATATTAGCCCAAAGATAAACACTCACATAATAAACAATGCATTAAAATAAAACTATAGACCTACTGCAGTTATAACATAAAACAACATATTATTGTCAAACATTTTGGGCATCCTCAAAATGTCTCTCCTGTCATTCAAAAAGCCAAGAAAAAGTATTCTTAGACGGTTATTCTTTCCTTTGTGGAGCCCTTATAAAAAGTCAGGTTCAAGTTAAATTTCCTTTTATAGAAATTCGGTGTATTTTCCCTCTTTTTTTAAATTCACATCCATATTCAACAACTTATTCTTATATTAAATAACATAACAATAATTTGGAATTAATTGGCGCTTACCTTAAGCCAGGTAATGCGTCAGCATATCCAGTGAATATTTAATATCATGCAGTGTTTATGATCGCACGGCCTCAGAACATCACTCGCACTATCCCAGCATTAGCGTTCCGAGCGCGCTGTTAAACAAGCGGAACATACCATCGCAACCTGAGATAAAGGGGTGTGGATCCAACCAATACGAGACCTGGGCTGAGCATACATATGTGAAGGCTAAACACACGGATATGTTCCAAAAATAGGGGAAAAGTTATTTTTAAAAGTAATGCATTACAATATTGCGTTACTCCATAAAAAAGTAACTAATTACGGTACTTAGTTACTTTTTATGGAAAGTAATTCCTTACGTTACTTTTGCGTTACTTTTTAAATCTGGGCAGGGCTTGCTTGTTTTTTTGTTTAGTTTTTTAAGTTCTATTTTTGGCAAATATAAAAGCCTTTTCACACCAAAAGTGAAATGAATAAGCCTCAGGCTGAAGGGAAAGTTAATTTACGTCCGTACAGTAGAATGCAGAAGAAGACATTTCAACACACTTCAGCAATAAAAAAAGACACAAATGTTTATCTAGAGTAATTTGATCTTATTACACTCTTTAAAATGCTGGGTTAAATACAACCCAGTGCTGGGTAAAATAGGGTTTAAGTATTTAACCCAGCATTTTTTAGAGTGTAGTATGATTAAACTGGATCATCGAAGGTCAGAAGCAAAGACATTGGTTAATAGAACGGGATTAAATACATAAAGTATATTTGTGTTGTTTAACATTTAATTATTGCAGGTTTGTGTCATATTCTGAGTTGCATTATTTTTATTCATTTTGAGGAATACTGAATCTGTGTTTTTTAGAGTGAGATTAATTAATGCATATTCATATTTATTTCAGAATTACAGTAACATCTTCTGATTTCTGTCACCATGGCAACACCAGAGCTGTCAATCAATAAATTGAAAAAAGTAACTTGCGTTACTTATTTGAAATAGCAACTCAGATATTCTCTTGTAAATTTTAACTTCACTAGTTACTTGAAAAAAGTAAACTGATTACGTAACTTGCGTTACTTGTAATGCGTTACCCCCAACACTGCATATACATGATATTCAAAGATACAACACAAACAAACAATAAATAAATAAAGGATGAGAACTTCCTCTCTGGGTTTCTTAAATTATATTAGCCCAAAGATAAACACTCACATAATAAACAATGCATTAAAATAAAACTATAGACCTACTGCAGTTATAACATAAAACAACATATTATTGTCAAACATTTTGGGCATCCTCAAAATGTCTCTCCTGTCATTCAAAAAGCCAAGAAAAAGTATTCTTAGACGGTTATTCTTTCCTTTGTGGAGCCCTTATAAAAAGTCAGGTTCAAGTTAAATTTCCTTTTATAGAAATTCGGTGTATTTTCCCTCTTTTTTTAAATTCACATCCATATTCAACAACTTATTCTTATATTAAATAACATAACAATAATTTGGAATTAATTGGCGCTTACCTTAAGCCAGGTAATGCGTCAGCATATCCAGTGAATATTTAATATCATGCAGTGTTTATGATCGCACGGCCTCAGAACATCACTCGCACTATCCCAGCATTAGCGTTCCGAGCGCGCTGTTAAACAAGCGGAACATACCATCGCAACCTGAGATAAAGGGGTGTGGATCCAACCAATACGAGACCTGGGCTGAGCATACATATGTGAAGGCTAAACACACGGATATGTTCCAAAAATAGGGGAAAAGTTATTTTTAAAAGTAATGCATTACAATATTGCGTTACTCCATAAAAAAGTAACTAATTACGGTACTTAGTTACTTTTTATGGAAAGTAATTCCTTACGTTACTTTTGCGTTACTTTTTAAATCTGGGCAGGGCTTGCTTGTTTTTTTGTTTAGTTTTTTAAGTTCTATTTTTGGCAAATATAAAAGCCTTTTCACACCAAAAGTGAAATGAATAAGCCTCAGGCTGAAGGGAAAGTTAATTTACGTCCGTACAGTAGAATGCAGAAGAAGACATTTCAACACACTTCAGCAATAAAAAAAGACACAAATGTTTATCTAGAGTAATTTGATCTTATTACACTCTTTAAAATGCTGGGTTAAATACAACCCAGTGCTGGGTAAAATAGGGTTTAAGTATTTAACCCAGCATTTTTTAGAGTGTAGTATGATTAAACTGGATCATCGAAGGTCAGAAGCAAAGACATTGGTTAATAGAATGGGATTAAATACATAAAGTATATTTGTGTTGTTTAACATTTAATTATTGCAGGTTTGCGTCATATTCCGAGTTGCATTATTTTTATTCATTTTGAGGAATACTGAATCTGTGTTTTTTAGAGTGAGATTAATTAATGCATATTCATATTTATTTCAGAATTACAGTAACATCTTCTGATTTCTGTCACCATGGCAACACCAGAGCTGTCAATCAATAAATTGAAAAAAAGTAACTTGCGTTACTTATTTGAAAAAGCAACTCAGATATTCTCTTGTAAATTTTAACTTCACTAGTTACTTGAAAAAAGTAAACTGATTACGTAACTTGCGTTACTTGTAATGCGTTACCCCCAACACTGCATATACATGATATTCAAAGATACATCCACAGAAAAGGCAAGGAATAATTTCAACGACCCCCTATTTTTAAACATATGTGCATCCACACTGTTTATGTCCTGCAAAGAGAAGAAACACTCTAAAATAAATCTCATTATAGCAAATGATTATAAGAATTCATAATAATGAAAATAATAATAAAAATAATACTTTTTATTATTTATTTATTTACTTACTTGCTTACTTATTGAAATTTGATTTGATTTAGGTCATTTTTAACAAAACTGCAAAGAAGCCAGACTGTTATTATGAAAAGCGGCTCAAGTTCACTAACCCGGATATTGTTTGTATACTGGGTTTCAGCAGCAGAGGGCTGCACGTATCCTAACTATTTAATGTACTTTTGCATGTTTATATCCTGTAAAGCTGTAACTGGATTGTTTTTGTGTCTTGAGCATTTCTTGGTGTTAACGAATGTTACAGAGCGTTTGACCTTATTATAGACACACTTGCTAACAGGTAAGTTTACTGAATGCTTCAGATTTCTATATTTATATAAGTTGATTCTCCCCATAACAGTTTTTTGATCTGATGGTAGCATGTTAAACTGTCCTAAAATATGATTTCTAATGTGTAATATAATTTTTTCTCATGATTAAGTTGCCCAGGTTGAGTTATAACCAATGCATTAGTTGTATATGTATATTTATATTATTTATGCATATTTATATTAAAATATACGCAATTAATTAATGACTATATTATTGTAAATATTTAATCCCTCGTTACACACTAAAAATGTATTGCATATCTATTCAGAAACTTTTTGGATATGTCTGTCAACAGCCTCCTTACCAGAAAATAATGAGCGACCAAGTTTAGAATATATGGGCAGCAGATTATTAGGTTTCTCTGCTCAGAATTATTACTGTCTTACTGTCTTTCCAAGAATGAAGCAAGATTTTTGTCTTTTTCTCTCTCTCTCTCTCTCTCTCTCTCTATGTAGGCAGAAATCAACAACATGCACAATCATTTCTTGACAACCTTTTTATTGTATTTCTGCGTTCAGGTGCTTTAGCCAGGTGAATGTTGGGAGTTCGAGCCCTGTTTGGAATCGGTCTTCTTGTGACATCACGAGGAGGCTCTGTCCTGACCCATACAGGAGCATGTGCACGTATTGCCAGTAACATCTACAGTAAAGATCTCACTCACAGACAGGCTTGCACTATGGCCGATACAATCAAGTACTTGGGGTGAGTGTAAATGCACTGCATTTATTAGTATTAGGGTTATCAGTATTGTTGCCTGAGCATAAACATGATTGTTTTTATGTAATCTTTCTTTTGTAGGCAAGAAGAGGCACAGCACATTGACGAGGAGCTGTTCGATGAGTACAGCTTCAGTGTGGATCAGTTAATGGAGCTGGCCGGTCTGAGCTGTGCCACAGCTGTGTCAAAGGTACATCTGATGCTCCACCAACATGCAGAAAGGATCAAATGCATTCATTATACACATTAAAAGCAGTTTTCGCTTCATAGGGCTATCCTCTACAATCACTGCTCAAGAGTCCACCTAGAGTTCTGGTGATCTGTGGGCCAGGAAATAATGGAGGAGATGGGTTGGTTTGTGCTAGACATCTCAAACTGTTTGTGAGTTCATGTTATTCTGAAAATAAATCATTCCTTTATTAAACTTAATATTTTATGAAGATGTATTGATTTATTCATATTGTATGTGGATCTCCCAGGGATATGAGCCTTCTGTATTGTACCCAAAGCGCCCCAGCAAACAGCTGTTCCAGAATCTTACCACCCAGTGTGAGAAGATGGATATATCCTTCCTGACAGAGATGCCTGAGGTACAACACAAACCCCAGCGGTCAATACCACATCGTTCACACTGTAGGGGGGCCAGATGTTTTTAGCCCTCATATGGGTTCTTCCTTCTCATTAATATATGATCAAATAATGTGCTAAATGCCATGAATGTACCAGCTGCTCAAGCTATGCACAACAAGCTGACATTTTAATGTTTCATATTTTTACCTTTATGTAAAAAAAAATTTATTTTGTACTTTGTTTTTGAATATGTGACCCTGGACCACAAAACCAGTCATAAGTCACACGGGGTATATTTGTAGCAATAGCCAAAAAAACATTGTATGGGTCAAAATGAGCGATTTTTTTTTTAATTCTATTTCTGTATATAGTACATTATTCAAATATATATTTTTTTTTTATTATTATATTAGTTTTATATTACATCCCTACTGTGTTATTCCTATGTATGTCTACACTATCATGTATGTCTGCACTATGTTTGTACTTTCTTCTACACTGGAAGCTCCTGTCGTCAAGTCAAATTCCTTGTGTGTGTAAACATACTTGGTAATAAAGCTCTTCTGATTCTGATTCTGATTCTTCTTTCATTTATTAGGTTGGGATGTGGAAAACGGCTGTCCTGATGGGATTCAGCCTGACATGCTCATCTCCCTCACGGCCCCTAAGAAAGCAGCCAATCACTTCAAAGGACGCTACCACTTCCTGGGAGGACGATTCGTTCCTCCTGCACTTGAGCAGAAGTACCAACTGAATCTGCCTCAATACCCAGGCACTGACTGTGTTCATCAGTTGAACTGAGCATTAAGTCCTTCAAGTCATTTTTGTGTCACTAATTTAAAAAAAACAAAACCTGGGTTATAAGTTTGATTTACCACTCTGAATACTTTTTCAAGTCTTCTCGAAAAACCGGTAGATATGGACTTGATTAATCAGCGTCAGTCAGTAATCGTGAAACTTCTTATTTGCAGGGATTGTTACAGAATGTTTCAGAGGAATCGCTCTAATTATTTATGTATGAATTTATAAAAACATCAAATTAAAATAAATAAATATTTAATTAAAGTTTTTGGTGGTTATGGATTTAATGACTAAGCCTGAATAATTGCTGCATTATTGTTTCGTGTTTGAATATAATAATGTTACATATTTACATATGGAAACATGTAACATTCCAAATGGCATAAAAATACAAAAATAAATAACTAAAGCTATAACTGTATGTTAAGGAATATTTTTATTTTAATATATGTTAAGGAATAGCCATGTGAGACACTTTTTATTATGGATGGGCGCTTTTTATTTCACTGCTTCTGGACTGAACCACTGTAACACCTGCTGACTGCCATTAAACAACTTGAAAGATCAGACAATTTTTAATATAAGTTCGACTGGATTCGTCTGAAAGAAGAAAGTCATATACACCTAGGATGCCTTGAGGGTGAGTAATTTATGGGCTAATTTTCATTTTTGGGTGAACTAAACCTTTAAGACGAAAATATTGCTGTTTCATTAAATATAATGAATTTTGCAAGCTGCAGCAGTGTATAGAGCATCTTCCAATTTCTATAATGGACGTTTTTTCTTTCCATGAGAAATGTCTAACTGTAAAAATATATCATAGATCAGTCCAAGATGTTATTTACTTTGTTTAAAGATTGAGTGGTTTATATTTTTACCTGTAGTTTATAGACCCCAAATCTGCACTGAAATAGACATTTTGTTCATTTCACACCATATAAATAGCTTTATAATACAGCACAACCCATTTGTGTTTCATTCAAAGTAATTAAAATTCATGTCTAGTCATAATTGCCAAAAACACATCTTATCTTACATTATCAGTTTCAACTGTTTACATCTTTTAAAAGTAAAAAAACAAGCCACAAAACAATAATGCTTAAAATGCAGGTCCCTCCCATTTTGCTCACAGATATGAACATCCACTGAGGGTCAAGTATGAAGAAATGCCTCCATGCAGGTATGACATGTCCCATGTCACAGATAAATGTCTTGGTTTTCTCTTGATGCCTTTGTCCGGATGTTCATTCATCTGTTCAGGAGCTGTTACAGCAGGACCGTCTCTCCTCATTAAACTCGCTGGAGGGGCCCAGAGTCACCGCGCTGATCGAGCCTCTGGTGACCTCTTTACTAGCAACTTTCTTGTGTATTGCTGATGAAGGAAACATAAATCAACACTGTCTTTATGCATTTAAAGTCGGTTCAAAACTAGAAGGTTTTTAAACCAAAAGAGGTATAAACTGGTTATGAAGTTTTAAATAATTATGATTTTTAAACGTTTTGAAATAAGTCTCATGCTCAGCAAGGCTTAATTTATTTGATCAAAAATACAGTAAAAACTGAACTTAAAACTTAAAAGAACTTAGATTAGAATGAGTTCCATTCGGAAAGGATCAGGTGACACTGAAGTCTGGAGAAATTATGAAAATTCAGCTTTGCATCACAGGAATAAATTACACTTCAAAATATATTAAAATAGAAAACAATAATTTTAAATGGTAATATTTCACAATTTTACTGTTTTACTGTATTTTTGATCAGATAAATGCAGCCTTGGTGAACACACTGTAAAAACTCGTAATTATTCCGAAATTTTGCCTGTAATTTCAGCGTAAATCCTATAAATCTTGCTGTGATTCAATGTTAATCAGTGACTTAAAGTAAAAAGCAAACTCACCTGTTAGAACTTCAAGGAAGGCAGATTCGACATTAGTTGACTCTAATGCGGACGTCTCCATAAAAAGTAAGCCTTTGGCCTCTGTTTTATCAAATAAATAAGCAACCCATAAAAGGGAATTAAAATAGAAAAATAAAGGTGAAAGCTCATTCAAAAATTTAAATTCTCACACTCATGTCATACTAAAACTTTATTTCTTCTGTGGACCACAAAAGAAGATATTTTGAAGAATGTCTAAACAACTGTAGACCCCATTAACTTTTATTGTACATGCAAAAAAATGTAAAAAATCTAAATGCCATCTTTCGTGCTCGGCAGAAGACAGAAAGTTGCACAGGTTTGGAATAGCATCATTTAAGGCACATGTCAAACTCCGGTCCTGGGGGGCCACTGTCCTGTAGAGTGTAGCTTCAAAACCCCTGCCTGGAAGTTTTCTAGTAATCCTGAAGACCTTGAGTAGCTGGTTTAGGCTTGTTTAATTAGGGTTGGAGTGAAACCCTGCAGAAGAGTGGACCTTCAGAAGTGAATCTGACATCCCTGATTTAAGAGCTTAAGTCTCAATCTAAGTCTAAAACAAAGAGTTATGAAATGCATTGACACCTGCAAAGTCCTTCGCCTCCTCTGTTGGCACAGTGCGTACATTTCCCAGGTCACTTTTATTTCCCACAAGCATGACTACTATGTGAGGATCAGCGTGGACATACAGCTCCTTCAGCCATCGCTCCACGTTCTCATACGTCAGGTGCTTGGTGATGTCATAAACTAGCAGCGCACCCACGGCTCCCCTGTAATAACTACAAAGAACCAAACTATTTATTATTACATATGCAGAAACAGGAAGTGGATATAGGCTCAAATTGTACTTTATGATTCATTACTTTGTTTAAAATGAGAAAGGTCCTTTTTCATAATCATAACCTAACATAATGCATTACTTTTCACAGGTATTCACATAAGATAAAAGTTTTTTTCAGAAGTTAATACTTTTATTTTGTAAGTATGCATTAAAAAGTGACAAATAAGAAATGTATAATAATATAAAACATCAGTTTCAAATAAATTGTTCTATTGAATGTTCTATTTAACAAAGAATACTGAAAAAAAATACACAACATTAAACAAAGTTGTTTTCAGTATTATTGATAATAATGAGAAATGTTTCTTGAGCAGCAAATCAGCGTATTAGAATGATTTCTGAAGAATCATGTGACACTGAAGACTGGAGTAATGATGCTGAAAAGTCGGCTGGGAATAAATTACATTTTAAATCATTATTATATAAAACATTTTGATCAAATAAATCAGCCTTGGTGAGCATAAGGGACAAAAATCTTACAGAACCCACATTTCTAAATGGTAGTCTTGATGCAGCATCTCTTGTAATAGTTCACTATTTGCTCTCATGATAATTATACTTCAAATATAATATAATTATCCCCTGTGTGTAGCTGTGGCTCTCAAAAAGCACTTTGGATACTTAACATGCACTGTATGAATGTTACTACAGTGACATAAAATCTCAAAACCAATGAAAAACCATTTATCCAACAGCAAAAGAGTAAAAAGTAACCTAAATGCTTGTTGTTAGGGCAAATGTAGATGTCAGTCACATGCCAGTTATACTTTTAACTGTTTCCCAGACTAAAAAAGGAGTGGTTCTGGGTGTGATGCTAAATCATTCACTACGAATTCCACAGCTGGCATTATCCTAAATAAGGATTCATGTGAACGTGCATAGATCAGAAATATCCTTAGGATTAAAGAATATATATTTTGAGATGAGGAAATGAGTGACTTACGCTGAGGTAATCGCCCTGTAGCGCTCTAGACCTGCAGTGTCCCAGATCTGGGCCTTGATGGTAATACTGTCCACTTGAATGGAGCGAGTGCTGAATTCCACTCCAATGGTTGTACGGCTGTCATGATTGAACTCGTTTTTGGTAAATCTGGACAGTAGGTTGCTCTTTCCAACCCCTGATTCTCCAATTAAAACCACTGAAAGACAACGAAAACCTTTTAGCTTACTTTAATTGATTGAGTTTTTATTCTAATTGACTAAATGAATAGCTACAATTCATGCCTCTAATAGAAACACAGGAAAAGAGGGTGACAAGACCAAATAACCAATTTATTAACATTTTTATATGCTAAAGATTATTATTATTATCATTCAGACCGTAAATCTGTCTGAGATCAAATCTGATCTCTAGTCAACTGATTCAAACTTACCTTTGAAGACAAAGTTGTAGGTTAAATCTGTCCCCATGTTCAACCCTAGCAGTAATGTGTCAGTCTGTATGCTTACGTGTTACTCTAGCTCGAAATCCACTGGGAGGAGAAAAGCAGATGCTCAGGTTTCTGAAAAGCTTTATCGAGCCATACTTGTGCTGGTCTAAAGGCAGATTCCACACGGCCAGACTCTTCTTTGAGACAGGGTGGGAGAGCAGGAGAAACAGGTCGAACCACTGACACACAATGGGAGTGACTTCACACTCTCACACAAAACTGTTAAACCACAGTTCTTTCTCAGTCCAACAATACATGTATCCAGTTTGTATGTCTGTAAACCAGACATACAGCTGACTCATAAAACCAGCTGTCCTGTATCAATATAGGTACTTTTCAAACCTGTCACATTCACAACTTCTGCTGACAGATTCAGTTTCTGCAAGCATAAAATAAAGGGGTTTCACTTAATATGCTTATAAGCAGGGATGTATTATTTCAATAAAAACACAAATTAACTTTATTTTGATGCAAATTTACCTGTTTGTTTCATATTAGGCTGGTAAATCACATTACATGTCAGTATTCTTGCTTAATGATGGGTACATGGTTATATTAATAAACTGCATGTTTGATTTTGAGGACCGTTTTGTTACTTTTGTATGATAGTGTATTGGGTGTCCAGACAGGTTCTGAAACACTGATATTGCAATGCTCTGGCTCCATTTTACGAGCATTAGCAATATTAAAAACAAAGATTAAGTTATGTGACTACAAAAAAAAGAGCAAAGGACACAGTAAATCAGAATTAAACAGCCGCAAAGGCGATAGCGTTCATCCTCCTGTCCTGTAGGCGGCAGCACTGCCTTACGTGGCGCTGTTGTGTTGTATTGAATCGCGAATCGCTACAGAGAGGAAAGCGAATCACTTCCGTCAGGACACACGCTGGGTTCATCATCATGGCGGCGGGACCGATTTCAGAACGAAATCAAGGTAAATTGAATAAATAGAAACTCGTAGGGATACTTTAATGCACTATATTTGCGAAAAGTATTACAGAACTATGGAAAGATTTAAGCTTTTCATATCTTCTCGATTAGCCTTGAGTCGCTTACTTCCGCTCATTCAAATATGCTTGCTAAAAGCAAATAACAAAGAAAAGTTTTGGTCTTCATTTAGATGAAGTGAATCAAACTAATATATTATATGCATATTAATATTATAAGTAGCAGAAACATTAATCAAAAATAGTGTGCATTTTATTTTATTAGAGCCTTACTTGGTGTCCAGTGCAATAGTGTTCATTTTTATCATTTATTTTTCTCAGATGCCACTGTATATGTGGGTGGTCTTGACGAGAAGGTCTCTGAACCTTTGTTATGGGAGCTTTTCCTGCAAGCTGGTCCTGTTGTAAACACACACATGCCCAAAGACAGAGTAACAGGACAACATCAGGGTGAGTTACCTTATCTTTAAACCTTCGGGGGGGGGACTCTACAATTTGCATGCTTTTAAGTTGAGATTTCTCTCCATTCTCCAGGTTATGGCTTTGTGGAGTTCCTCAGTGAAGAGGATGCAGACTACGCCATAAAGATCATGAACATGATCAAACTTTACGGCAAACCCATACGAGTCAACAAGGCTTCGGCACACAACAAGAACCTTGACGTCGGCGCCAACATCTTCATTGGCAACTTGGACCCTGAGATCGACGAGAAACTGCTTTATGACACTTTCAGCGCTTTCGGCGTGATCCTTCAGACACCGAAGATCATGCGAGATCCAGACACGGGCAACTCGAAGGGTTACGCTTTCATCAACTTTGCAAGTTTTGATGCCGCCGATGCAGCTATTGAAGCCATGAATGGCCAGTATCTCTGTAATCGGCCCATCACGGTTTCATATGCCTTTAAGAAAGACTCAAAGGGCGAGAGGCATGGCTCAGCTGCAGAGCGCCTCCTGGCCGCCCAGAATCCACTTTCACAGGCCGATCGTCCCCATCAGCTTTTCGCAGATGCTCCTCCACCTCCCACCATTCCTACACCGGTCATGACCGCCCTTGGAACAGGGATTCCAATTCCAGGTTAGTTAAAGGGATAGTGGCCCAAAAATTCTGTCATTGTTTACTCACCCCCATGTCATTCCAAACCCGTAAAACTTTGGTTCATCCTTGAAACCCCAAATTTTCATTTTTAATGAACCTCAGAAGTTTCTATCCCTTCATTGAAAGTCAAGTCACTTTTGTTTACGTAGTGCTTTATACAATACACGTAGCTTCATAGTATTAAACTGGGAAATAACAGAATCAGTGAGGAAACTACTTCACATAGGAGACAAATTCTGCTGTAAAAAGACAATAGTGTCATTATTCAGCTCCAGTCAGTTCAGTGATAATGCAGTTCTATAACAGTATAATGTTCATCAATTATATAAATAAAAAGTTCATTTCAGCTATAAGCAGCTCTACATAAGATAATGTTGTCATTTTTCAGCTTGAGTCAGATTGATTGATTCCATTTAGTGTAATAAACGTTGCACAATTTGTCAGTTATTAATAATTTATGATTTAATTTAGGCTTTTATTTACATGTAAACAATGACTGACACATACGTCTAGCAGATCACATTTGTGTCGATCATTGTTTAGCCTAAATCAAATCTGTTCATCATATAAAATGATTATATCTCTTCTGAAGACTCGGGTGATTATTTAGTGTTGTTGTGTGCACAATGTTCTTTTACTGGGTTGTGTATGACATGAGCAACAGAAAATGTACGAAAAAGCCATAAATTGATCATTGCAATATTTTTAATCAAAAATAAGTCAAAAGCTGTATACATCACTTAAGCACGTAACATGTGGGGGAAAAACTCTAAGCTCAAGATTTTGCATTTACACCAGTGCAGCTCCATAAACTTGTAGTGCCAGTATATCACTGGGGCTCGTTTACAATGTGAGGATGGTAATGTCTAAAAAAAGAAACATTCATAATTTTATGAATGGCTAAAAAGGCAAACACATAATTCCTATGCGAGACATTTATGCATCTCAACTGTAAAAAATTGTCAGTTTCTGCTGAGGTTATGACATTTATGTCCATGACAAACAATTTACTGCCACTATTTTCAGTTTTATAGCACAAAATGTGATTAGATTGAAATCACTTCTGATCTTGCCGTTTTTTGCAGATATCAGTATGGCAGATAATCATGCACCTCCGAAACCTACTTTTTCCATAACTGAGGAAGGTCATATTATGCATTATAAAATAAAAAACCCTGATACTGGATTTAGACGTTTTACATTTGTGAAAGCTTTTTACTTTGTCTCCGTTCACAAGAGCTCTCAACTTAAGATTCAAAGTAATTAAACATATTATTATACATAGACAGAGAAAGAAATACAAGTTACACATGGAATGCGAGTTAAATGTTCAATTAATGGGAAGTATGCTTTATACCCACTGAAACAAATACCATATATGCAATAATTCACGTCGAATCCTTTATAGATGAAAACTAAACATGACCAAAGGCACTTTTAATTGCCCTATAGATTTTAAAATTGTCTGACAGAAAAAGAACAGATCGCCTACAAATCAAATTCTTGAAATTGGTGCATTATTTTACTTCCAATGCATAGAACATAACGCTGCTGCATTCTGAGATGAAGTGTCACTGTTTATTTACAAAAGCGATGAAACTGTCTGAATAAGGCAGCTACATTTCTAAGGGAGCTCAAAAACATACAGTTTGCAAAGAGTTCCATCCTGAGTGAACCTTTTCCAGCTGTTTTGAAGAGCCCCATCGAGGGCAAATCAGGGGTGACCTCTTTTAAGGACACCACAGATACAGACTCCCAGAAAGAATCATCTTCCCTGGTCATGTGTGTGTGTGTGTGTGTGTGTGCATGCATATGATGCACATTGTGGTTGTTTGTTTGTGAACTTTCATTTAAAGCAAGTAACATTAACCTGAACAGAACAAGGAAAAAAATTACAAAAAGGACTTCATTGCCAAAAGCAAATCGTCAAAATGAACCAAAGCAAAACTGTGCTGATGCACTCTTTGGTTGCTTGAGCACGGAGTCCAACACTCTTGGGCCTTCATTTATGAAATGACTTCTGTGTGACCTGCCGTGGCTTCCACTAAAGTTATCTGCTCGTCCGCAGAGTCGATCTCTTCTGTTTTGATGACTACGCCCTCTTCTGAAAACATGACCACTTCCTCTTCTCCCTCCGTTGTTTCTTCGATTCCGACCTCTTCCTGCACAAACACGACGTGCTCCTGGTCCAGGGCCATGGTGCCGTTGGTCTGTCCGTTTTCCATGGCTTCCAGTTTCATGCGGTACTCCTCGGCTTCCTGCTCTTTGCGGAGCAACTGCTGACGATAGCCTTGAGCTTTCCTGTTAGCTTCCTGTAACTGCCACTGGAGATGCTCCTGGAGATTGAAGATAAGATCGAGATGGGGTGGGGTGATTTTTAACATCTGGAGGTTTTGCTCTTAGGGTGTAACAACATGCAATAGTACATTTGGTAACACTTTATTTTAAGGTGTCACAGAGTAAGTACATGTAGTTAATTAATATTACTCGGTACTTAAATGTATAATTGCACTGTAACCAGGACACCTTAAAATAAAGTGTAACCGTAAATGTTTTTTTTTACATCTAGTTACACTCACTGTTTCACCGGTCTCTGTATTATTGGATGAAACTTCAATTTTTCTTTTACGGGCAGGAGGTTCGGAGTTATTAACCACTTCCTCTGTGATTTGATTGGATTGAACTGCCAATACTAATAACAAAAATGTAAAAAAAAAAAAAAATTAAAACAAGAACACCTTTAATGACAAAGTACACGATTGTGGTGAAAATATACTATACCTGGAAATGAATGAATGAATGTATGTATGTAACACAAAATAATTAAAATAATGTTTATTTAGCAAGCATTCAATTGATCAAAAGTGACAGTACTTTTACATTGTTACAAAAAATTCTGTTTCAAATGCTGTCCTTTTGAACGTTGTATTGATGAAGGATTCCTGAAAAAATGTTTTTCAAAATTGAAAATAAGAAACATTTCTGTAATACATCATGTGACACTAAAGGCTGGACTAATAGCTGCTGAAAATCCATCGTTATAAATTACATTTCAAAATTGTAAAAAAAGATATTTCAAAATATAACGGTTTTACTGCTTTTGACTAAATAAAGGCAGCCTTGAGTTGTTTGTTTGTGAACTTTCATTTAAAGCAAGTAACATTAACCTGAACAGAACAAGGAAAAAAATTACAAAAAGGACTTCATTGCCAAAAGCAAATCGTCAAAATGAACCAAAGCAAAACTGTGCTGATGCACTCTTTGGTTGCTTGAGCACGGAGTCCAACACTCTTGGGCCTTCATTTATGAAATGACTTCTGTGTGACCTGCCGTGGCTTCCACTAAAGTTATCTGCTCGTCCGCAGAGTCGATCTCTTCTGTTTTGATGACTACGCCCTCTTCTGAAAACATGACCACTTCCTCTTCTCCCTCCGTTGTTTCTTCGATTCCGACCTCTTCCTGCACAAACACGACGTGCTCCTGGTCCAGGGCCATGGTGCCGTTGGTCTGTCCGTTTTCCATGGCTTCCAGTTTCATGCGGTACTCCTCGGCTTCCTGCTCTTTGCGGAGCAACTGCTGACGATAGCCTTGAGCTTTCCTGTTAGCTTCCTGTAACTGCCACTGGAGATGCTCCTGGAGATTGAAGATAAGATCGAGATGGGGTGGGGTGATTTTTAACATCTGGAGGTTTTGCTCTTAGGGTGTAACAACATGCAATAGTACATTTGGTAACACTTTATTTTAAGGTGTCACAGAGTAAGTACATGTAGTTAATTAATATTACTCGGTACTTAAATGTATAATTGCACTGTAACCAGGACACCTTAAAATAAAGTGTAACCGTAAATGTTTTTTTTTACATCTAGTTACACTCACTGTTTCACCGGTCTCTGTATTATTGGATGAAACTTCAATTTTTCTTTTACGGGCAGGAGGTTCGGAGTTATTAACCACTTCCTCTGTGATTTGATTGGATTGAACTGCCAATACTAATAACAAAAATGTAAAAAAAAAAAAAAATTAAAACAAGAACACCTTTAATGACAAAGTACACGATTGTGGTGAAAATATACTATACCTGGAAATGAATGAATGAATGTATGTATGTAACACAAAATAATTAAAATAATGTTTATTTAGCAAGCATTCAATTGATCAAAAGTGACAGTACTTTTACATTGTTACAAAAAATTCTGTTTCAAATGCTGTCCTTTTGAACGTTGTATTGATGAAGGATTCCTGAAAAAATGTTTTTCAAAATTGAAAATAAGAAACATTTCTGTAATACATCATGTGACACTAAAGGCTGGACTAATAGCTGCTGAAAATCCATCGTTATAAATTACATTTCAAAATTGTAAAAAAAGATATTTCAAAATATAACGGTTTTACTGCTTTTGACTAAATAAAGGCAGCCTTGATGAGCATAATACAACAGCACTTCAGTGTGACATAAAAAAAAATAGTAATAATAAATTTTGCATTGAAGCTAACAGAAAAATGTTGTAATTTCTTCCTCTGGAAATAACCTTTATTCTTAAAATATTCATCCTTTAATCTCGTATTTCTACAACTTTACTCTTGTATTGTTACGACTTTATTCTCAAAATATTATGACTTTAATCTCACAATGCTACAACTTTATTCTTATCATTTTAATTTTATTCTCAACTTACTGTCTTTATTCTCGTAATCTTTTACGAGCTAAAACGCTGTCATACATAAGAGATTTCTTTCTAAAAAAGGAAAAACTTACCCCAAACTACATATTAATCTAAAACTGTAGCATTGAGAAGTTCCCTTCAAAATCCAAAATAAGTCTAGGATTTCCTACCTTGTCGTCCATCCTGCATTGTGACAAAGAACGGTTGGCCGAGTCCATTTGTCTGCAGATTTCCATGTTGATCTGTTAATATGGTTATGACCCTCTGACCCGATTCATTCACCACTTGCTGGATACTCGAGTCCAAGGCACTGACAGCAATAGCCTCCTCTGTGT